AGCTTGTAACACTCCAAAGAGAAAGGAAAACATGAAATCGCATCATATGACCCCTTTAAAGCACTGATCAACACATATGCATGGATATAGTAAACATACATATGCATGATGTAGTACGATAGTTGTCGGTATGTTGTATCTGCGTGAGAACCAATGAGCTCTTATGTTTTCCATATGTGATTTGCTCTATGTGTGTTTGTATGGGAATAGAAGGTTAAATTAAATGTTCATCATAAAAAGCAATCTTATCTCTACACAAGACGGATTTAAACCGCTCAGTTCTGATGGATTAGTTTCATGAGGTCTTTATGATCTTTTTGGATCTTCAAGGTTTTGGTTACCTGGACTTTTAATGGAGGGAGAGAAACTTCTCAGGATTTATTAAAAGTATTTTAATTTGTGCTTCAAAGATGAATGAAAGTCATAGTGGTTTGGAACGACATGAGGGAGAGTAAAGGCCATTGCACACGGAGTCCGAAATTCTTAGCCGAAATTTTCACACGTTAAAAAAATAAATACGACCTCACGTTTACACGCTGCCTCCGAAACTTTCGTCCTGATCAATCAATTCGGATCGGGTTCGATTTTTTGCGTTTTTCACATCCGTAGCAAGCATGTTGAGAGGTGTTTTGACCATTCAGAGCCACCGTACAAGCGAATGCCAAAATCCAGAATGGCATCTGACAAGTTGATTCACTTCGTCTCGCAGCACAAAGCACTGTATGACAAACAAAGTGTGGAATACAAAGAGACGGAATATAAATATAAATATAAACTTTGAATCGATCGGGTTAATCCTGCAGCTCCTTGATAAAGAGGTGGAACTCTCCTTTCTCTCTACACAGTCTCAGTATTGGATGGACCCAATATTTCCTCTTTAAAAGAAAAAAAGAAATTTTTGGAAATATTGGGTCCATCCAAGAGAGGACAACAAAATCATCCTCACAAGACTTCATTTTGTATTATTTTGTGACTATTTTCGCAACTGATTAATTAATACGCATCGGACTCAGTGTGCAAGGTTTATGTGTGTGACAAATTTTTAAGATGACGAATACGAAAAAAAGGTATACGGAAATTTTGTACTCAGTCTGCAAAGACCTTGAGTCCGAAATTTTCGCATATTAAAAAATAAATACGACCTCACATTGTGTCAATCACATTTACACACAGCCTCCGAAACTTTAGTCCGTCATAAAAAAATTCGGATTGGGTTAGATTTTCTGCGTTTTTCACATCCGTAGCAAGCATTTTGACACAGTGTGCAAGGTTTCTGTGCGTGATGATAATGAATACGAAAACACGCATACAAAAATTTCAGATACAGTGTGCAAAGACCTTAAATGATGACAGAATGTTCACAAAAATAAAAGCGGAACGTACGGCGACTCCTCTCTTTTGCAGCTCCTGAAACACGGCTCTGATTGGACGAGAGAAGCACAGAGACAGCTGACAGCCTCTCTGCTCGGGGTCAGAGGGCATGATGATGTGGACAGAGGGTTTGTCGGGGTCTGACGGGTCTTTGCTGTAGTGATGTCTGATCAGATACTCCAGATACCCCGTCAGCAGCACAGACTTCCTCCTCAGATCCTTCATGCTCGTCCGGTTAAAAATCTGGACACCAGAAACTCAGTGCATCAACACAGAAAAAAGAATGAGACAATATATTCACCTACATGAATTAAGATTAATTCAAAATGTTGTACGAAGGCTGTCGTTATGTTGTTCAAAGGTTGTCGGTATGTCGTACGATGGTTGTTAGTATGTTGTACGAAGGTTGCAGTTATGTTGTACGAAGGTTGTAGTTATGTTGTACGATGGTTGTCATTATGTTGTTCAAAGGTTGTCGGTATGTTGTACGATGGTTGTTAGTATGTTGTACGATGGTTGTCAGTATGTTGTACGAAGGTTGCAGTTATGTTGTACGAAGGTTGTCGTTATGTTGTACGAAGGTTGTCGTTATGTTGTACGAAGGTTGTCGGTATGTTGTACGAAGGTTGTCGGTATGTTGTACGAAGGTTGTCGGTATGTTGTACGAAGGTTGTCGGTATGTTGTACGAAGGTTGTCGGTATGTTGTACGAAGGTTGTCGGTATGTTGTACGAAGGTTGTCGGTATGTTGTACGAAGGTTGTCGGTATGTTGTACGAAGGTTGTCGTTATGTTGTACGAAGGTTGTCGTTATGTTGTACGAAGGTTGTCGTTATGTTGTATGAAGGTTGTCGGTATGTTGTACGATGGTTGTTTGTATGCTGTATGAAGGTTGTAGTTATTTTGTACAAAGATTGTTGTTATGTTGTACGATGGTTGTTGGTATGTTGCACGATGGTTGTTAGTATGTTGCACGAAGGTTGTCAGTATGTTGTAAAATGGTTGTTAGTATGTTGTACAACAGTTGGCAGTATGTTGTATGAAGGTTGTCGTTATGTTGCACGATGGTTGTCAGTGTGTTGCACGATGGTTGTCAGTATGTTGTATGAAGGTTGTCAGTATGTTTTAAAATGGTTATTAGTATGTTGTACGAAGGTTGAAAATATGTTGTATGATTGTTATCAGTACATCGTCAGTATGTTGTATGATGGTTATCAATATGTTGCTGTCAGTATGTTGTAAGATGGCTTTCAGCATGTTGTATAATGGTTGTCAGTATGTCGTACGAAGGTTGTCGGTATGTTGTATGCAGGTTGCAAATATGTTGTATGATGGTTATCAGTATGTTGTATGACAGTTGTCGGTATGTCGTTAGATGGTTGCCAGTATGTTTTTATGAGTGCTTTGTGATGTCTGACCTCTAGACTGGCCTGTAGTGGACACACCAGTAAGATGGGCTGATTGGACAGACGGAATCCATTAACACCAGGCTGAAGCTTCATTTCTGCAGGAATATTCAAGTCATCCATGAACATTCAAGTTATTTTTTTAAATATATATATATTTTTTTTATATATTGCAGATATACTGGGACTGACTTTTGACAAAAGTCTATAAATAAAAGCATCTACAACATATAAAGCTGCTTTACAGAGTGTAATGCAACTACATTTGTGTCCACAGGATGTCAGCAGAGAGCAGGCCATGAGCTCTCACAATCCCACAAAACTTACAGTGATCACAATAATGTTTGTGTCAGTGACATAATTCTTATACCGTTGTTCATGAGGAATCTGGTCTTCAGGTTGTGTCCCCACCAGCCCGTCAGACTGACTCACACACACACACACACACTGCATGAGCATCTCATGAGCTTTATTTTATCTGTAAGCGTGTTAAAGAGCGTGTGTGTGATACTCACGTGGGTTTGACGCTAAGAGCGTGTTTCTCATGTATATAAGCTCCAGCCAGACCACCGGCCCCTGAGTTCACATACTGAATAAAACACACACTAATCACCACTAACAATGATGCACCACATATTCAACACTAATGCCATAAATATAAAACAACAATAAATAAAAATGAATTAATGAACATAACACAACACGGACACTGACCTTATAAGAGCACCAGCACGCAAAATCCACATTCCAGTCGTGAAGTCGCATTTCTGCGTTTCCTACGGCATGTGCACAATCAAACCCTACCAAACACCCCTGAACACACACACACACACATTCTGTGTGAAACATTTGAAGATCAGTGATTGTTGTTTTCCTGTTTATTACTGTGAAGCTGCTTTGAAACAATCTGTTCTTTGCATGAAGCGCTATAGAAATAAAGTTGACATTCTGAAACCAGGATTAAGGCATATGTGTGTGTAGAAAAAATGCTGGGTTGTATCTACCCAACTTTGGGTTAAATATGGACTAACCAAACTTTTGGGTTAAAAATATAATTTCAAAATTTAACACAGCAGTTGGGTTAGTCCACATTTGACCCAAAGTTGGATTGAAACAACCCAGCATTTTTTAGAGCGCATATGTGAGCCGTTTTTTATTTTTATTTTTTTCTAAGCAACAATAATAAAACAATAATAAACATTTATAATTAATAAAAATTATATTTATAGTAGAAGTATTTTTCCAATTTACTTTTCCCTATATGCATGTACAAAATCTATTTTTAAAATTAAGTTTTAATATTTTAAGCCACGAACAAAAGCAACTAAAACTGCAAACTTTGCATAAAATTTTTGAAATATTGCTTATTTTAGTATTAATTTCAGTGATTAAATGAACTCCAGTGAAGCATCATTAAGGATGTTGTCAATTCACAAATGTGATTTACAATATTAATCGACACTCTTTAAAATGCAATTTTAAAATATTCAGACATACAGATTAGGGGAGTAACGGTACACAAACATGACGGTTCTGTACGTACTGTACCTCGGTTTTGACATCACAGTTCGGTATGGTTTCGCTAAAGCAGGAGGAAAAAATACTAAACATATATATTTTTTTAATTAAACAATGTTTTACTGAACAAATTGCTCTTTCTTTAAATAAATTCAATTATAATAAAAATTCTTTAAATCTACCTAATAAAATATATTTTTAAAACATCTATAAAATACCTCAGCTTCTGCTCTAAACTATAAGTAGCCCTTTTATATTACTATTAAGAAGATTACAATTACAATTAACAAGAGAGCCCAGACTTAAATGTATTTACTATTTATTTTTAACTATAATAATCAACACTCAAAAAAAAAAAAAAAATTGTATGCAAACATGTACATTGCACTCAATGCAGTTTTTAAATTACCTTTTATATTATGCAATTTATATTTGTTGTTGAAATATAATCATTTACAAAGTGGCTGTCATAACTTGTTGCACACAAGAACTGAGTAATTTATACAGCGATATATCACGCCTCATCAAAGAGCACCAAAACTAAATTAATTTGTCTGAATTTCCTGAAAAAATTTTATCATTTCTTCTAAAAGACCTGTACCAAACATTTTCGGTACGAATACATGTACCGTTACACCCCTAATACAGATATATAAGTAGTTTGGGAGGATGGAGAGGTCAAACTTCTTATGCATCTATTAATCAATTACATCAACCCCAATTAGGGTTGCAAAGGGGCAAACCATTTCTGGTAAATTTCCTGAAACTTTC